TTAAGGACGTTCGAGGGCATTGCTACTGCGCACGCTTTCTGCGCACGCCCAAACCGGAAGTTGTCACGAAATTGCATCACGCAAAACAAAGATGGCGACCGCTCTTGTTATGTGTTTACGAGGTTTTGTACGTACTTTTCTGAACTTCTACTTGAATGAAAAATGTCTTCGTGTTAAAAAAATGAGAGATTTACTACTGCTAAAGAATTGATGAGGCGAAAAAGTGTTGAAAATGCTCTAAAAAGTCGTAGATTGGCAGAACAAAGTCTCTCGCAATTCAAGATGGCCTGCAAAATCCAAGATTTCGACACGAAATATTTCGACAACGAACCCGGTAACCCCAATTTCTATTTATCTTAAAAGAAGGCTACTTGGAAAAAATATAACATATGTGAAAGTGGAAAAAACGACAACAGAGGTTTCTGAAATAGAGCAGTTTTAGCTGGAAATGACACCTATTCTTGACGTCGAATGTGGCGGCCTTACACGAACAAAAGTCCTAAAGAAATCAAAAATCACACCATGTAATGTTTCAAAGTCTCGTAAACAATATTAATAATTATCGACCTCAGCTTTTGTGGAAAAATTTGGATCAATTGATATGTATTTTATATTTTTTGAGAACTTTTTTGACAGACGGCATCGAACACTTTTCGCGCGCTTTTCTTTGACAATTTTGGTGATTTTGTGCAAGAATTATCTCAAAAATGAAGCCGGTGACCTCCACTTTTTTATCGCTTTTTTGCAAGTTTATGTCATCGCGTATTTCCCCCAAAAATTTCATCGAATTGACATCACGGAATCCAATGCCAATGAACGTCCTTAAGGCTGGATTCATGCAGATTGAAAGAAAATACCTGCAAGAAGCATGTGATCGAGTGAGATCAAAATTGATGACGTCAGGTCTGACTTCGGCTCTTTTCATGATATTCGATGGCTTTGTGATATTCCACAAGTGACTGATAGGCCCTTCCTAAGTTTCCGTAACTGATTCCTTCTCTCTCTCTGTCACCAAACTCTTTAGCAATGCTTAGCCTCTTCTCATGATATTCGAGCTTTGTGATATTCCACAAGTGACTGATAGGCCCTTCCTAAGTTTCCGTAACTGATTCCTTCTCTCTCTCTGTCACCAAACTCTTTAGCAATGCTTAGCCTCTTCTCATGATATTCGATGGTTTTGTGATATTCCCGAAGTGATTGATAGGCATTTCCTAGGTTTCCGGAACTGATTCCTTCTTACTTTCTGTTACCAATCTCTTTAGCAATGCTAAGGCTCTTTTCATGATATTCGATGCCTTTGTGATATTCCCCAAGTGATTGATAGGCATTTCTTAAGTTCCCGTAACTGATTCCTTCTCTCTTTCTGTCACCAATCTCTTTAGCAATGCTTAATCTCTTCTCATGATATTCGATGGCTTT